TTTGCGATCGCAATTGCACTCTCAAAACAATGTTTTAAATGGGTTTTTTTCGCTTTGCGAAGATTGGTTCCCTGCTTCGGGAACCGATTCTTCACATTACGATGATCAAAAGAGCTGATCGTCGGGTTTTCAAAATGGCCGGTGCTCAAAATGGCTCCCAACTGTGCTTAGGGACGGATTCCTCGCTATACAGGCACCAAAAATGGCTGCCGTATGGAGGACCTTCACTGGACAGTGAGTTTTTAGCCCATTGGAACGCATTAACTGGGGTTAAATGAGTTTCAATGGGTTTTTTATTTTCGCTTTACGATGTTTTCACTCTACAGCGATTTCACTGGAACGAATTAACGTCGTTAAGCGAGGCACCACTGTATATGCGGTCCAATGCAAACAGCAGTGTTCAAACGTCTACATTGGAGAAATCAAACAGCCGCTCAACTGGAGAATGGCCCAGCACAAGGAGGGGCAATCGGTCCGATGCAAAGGGCAGTGTTTGAAGGTCTACATTGGAGAAACCAAACAGCCACTCAACTGGAGAATGGCCCAGCACAGGAGGGGCAATGGATCAGGACCACAATCGGCAGCATTCCTTCATTTGGATGACCAAGATGGACTCATTTTGGACCAAGAAGGTTGTTGGTTTAAGAGAGGGGTCAGGGAGGCCCTCCATATGCATACAGGAAATCCCTCACTCAACAGGGCCCATGTGCATACAGGAAATCCCTCACTCAACAGGGGTGGAGGCCTTAGATACAATCTGTCTCCTATGGGTCAAGCCCCCCTTTCATCCCTTCCCAGGAGGATCAGGACCACACACAGCAGAAAGGCCACCGTTAACGACCCTTAATGACCCATGACAATGGATGGAGAAGGACTGCAGAAGTGAGATTATCCCTCACCACCCAGTCCTTTGTCCTTCTAAGGAGCCTCTTCAGACCAGGGAGAAGTGAAACTAAAGTGGAGGAGATAATCAGGGACCTCCTGCCAACTCTCCTCAGACCGAAGAAGCTACTCGGAGGAGTAGCAAAACATTTCAACTTAATAAGGGAGAAGTCCAGCTGCCATGACTCAACGTCCAAAGAAGAGATAAAATGTTGGACCCACGAGGTCAAAGTAAATTGGTTTTCGCGCGAGGATGGGAAATACAGATAAGATAGAGAGCGATCTGGGAGGCTTCAAGGGGAAAACAATGTCCTGGATCCCACCCAAAATCCCAGTTAAACACCTAAGAGGGTTTCCGTAAATGATGACTCACGATTCAGCGACTGAGTCAAATTAGATCAACACCAAATTGAATGCCAATTCAATGTATTCCTTCCCTCCCACTCTGTGCCTGAATATCCAATATAATTTGGAAACACATACACCACCCTGGCCCAATAAGCCTGATCTTTTTTACCTGAAGTAACCAGACTTCAATTATTATTATTTTTTTAAAGGCACCTCTGTTTACTTGTGAAGGTGGCCATTGGCCAAGACGCTGTCAACCCTGTAAGTAGCTGCGCCCGCCTCTTGACACTCAAAGCAAAGCCCCCACCTCGAACAATTCCAGTATCTCTATCTGTTTTGGCAACAGACGCACAAAAACAGAATTGTTGTGGACATCCACGATTTTTTTTCCGCACAGAGACAAAACTTTTCTGCCGAACGAGATATTTGCTGATCACTTTAAGAAGGCGAGAGACAGAAGACAAAGTCCAGCGAGGACCACAAATTTCGAGGATCCACGGCTTCTTCCCAATGCTTTACAGAGCGTTGTGTGGTGTCTGTTCTTTGAGCGGTTCCCCCTCTTATTTCAAGGTATTGCCCCACGGGGCAATGAGGTGTGAGCTCCGCAGAGGAGCCGAGCCGAGGACCCACAAGGAGAAGTCGAGCTGCGAAGCGGCACCACTGAGGATGATGGGATACAACAGGGGAGTGGAGGGACTTTGCCCCTCTCTCCCTCCCCCCCATCCTCAGGCAAACGCAGCCAGGCTCCATTCTCGTACTGCGGTTACATCACTCCTCGTCCCTTCGAAGGCCTCAGCAGGCACACGAGAGTCACCAGAGAAACCAGGAAGATGCTGACAAAGAGGAGAACGAGGCCGATCCAGGGGCCGTACTCCGTGCCCTTCCGGAAACCGGTCGCTTCGGCCGGGATCATGTTGGTGAGGTTGAGCATGTATCCGAGGGCCCAGCCGATAGACGTGTCCCCTGCCTGTACAGACAAAATGGTGAGAGAGGCTCATAAGAAGGCAAAACAGGGAGCTTCCTCCATTCTCCGCCGCTCACTTCCACCCAGGATCCAAACCCAACCCACTGGGGTTCATCGTTAAGCGGAATCGTCGTCAAGTGGGGTAATCATCCAGCGGGGCACCACTGTATAGCGATAGAGTTTTTTCACCCACTCCAAACAATGGGGATACTTTTCAGCTTCAGGCCGGGAGCGCAAGAGATGAAAAATACCCAACAGAACTCAAGACGCCAGAGAACTTTTCTGAAGTTGAAATCTAGCCCTGGGATGGACAGAGCGCCCCCCTCCCGACACATAGCTGCCTCCCCCATTTCAGCCCCAGATCAAACCTGGTTTTTTTACCTTCTTCTGGAAGGCAATGTTGGGGAAGGTGGTGGCATTAAATTGGTAGCCCTGCTGAAGGAGGAGGTAGATGAAGGTGGCCGTTGGGCAGTAATCGGACAGCCGCTTCTCCAGATTCGGTGCTTTCTGGTACAGCTGGATTTATAGAAGGGAACGGAGAGAGAGAAGGGAAAAATGGAGAGAACGCAAGAAAGCACTTATTTCCTGCTTGGATTCAAAGCACCCTGTATTTACTCCAAGCCACAATTCTGCTGATTGAGTTAGTCTCCTGTTTCCATTCCCTTGGGCCATATAATAAAGTTTGGGTCAAAAAGCAAGGAAAAGGGGCTGATCTGTCTGAAAAAATGCTCTTTTCTCATGGCACATCTTCCTAAATATTTGAGGGTAGAGATGCCCCACCTGCAGCCCACTAGAGTGCGTTCTGCATCCTGATCTGAAACAGTCTCGTGCTTATGTTCACCCCTTGAGTTGCAGAATCGCTGTACCCCACAAAAGCTGCTGGCGGACTACAATTCCCAGAACCCCCCAGGAAGGCTGGCGATGGGGAGATTCTCTTGGAAAAAAAATAATGCAATCTCTGGAACCAATGCAGTATCAATAATAATTGCCGTTCCAACGTAGTCACGCAGATCTCTGCGTGGAGGGAAGGAACAACGCACCTCGGTCCATGTTGCGTTGCACAGCTCCTCCACCGCTGCCTCGAGGTCCCTCAGGGTGGCCACATGTCTCGTCATCACCGACTGGATGAAATCCACGGTGTAGAAAAAAGCCGAGAAGGCCTGAGAAAGGAGGAAGAGGAGGAAGAGGAGGTGAGGCGGGCATGGGGTGCCAAAGAACTGACCTTTTCCCCCTTTGCACTACAGCCAGCTCCCTCAATCTGGTGCCAGTCTCACGGATTACAACTCCCATCAGCTCTTTCCACTGGGGAAGAGGGAAGTTGCAATCAGCTTCCTCCTCAGGCCAAACGGCCGCAGAAACCTTGATTCACATCCTCCATGCATGGATGTCTCTCTGCTTATGGAGGCATTTTCTCCCTCCATCATGTAAAAAAAATATTTAACCGAAGTAAACAAAAACCACATTTATGCTGCAGAAACCTTGATTCACATCCACCATGCATGCATGTCTCTCTGCTTATGGAGGCATTCTCTCCCTCCATCATGTAAAAAAAAATCTTTAACCGAAGTAAACAAAAACCACATTTATTGGTGTATAAGACTATACTTTTGTCTAAAATCTTTAATATAAAAATTGAGGGTTGTCTTATACACGGAAGTAAGCTGAGGAGAGAACAAAAACAAGTGGAGGGGAAAGCAGGGATCAAAGCGATCCTGCAGTGCTTTGATCCCTTTCCCCCTACACTTGCTAAGCCCCACTTAGATGTCTTAATTTTGGGTTAGAAAAGTGGGGGGTGTCTTATACAGGGGGGCATCTTATACATGGAAAAAGATGGTAATTTTGGGAACAAGTCTAGAGAGGAGGTAATGGGGGGAGGGTTGTCTTTGCCCATTATTCAAGGGCCAATGAAGTAGACAGCCAGATCAATGACTGTTTTTGCTAAGTGAAACAAAATGTAAGGCTTGGAAATAATTTGTTAGAAAATGAGTACGTCACCCTATCCTGCGTTAGAAACATCAACAATTTTGGCACAGATTATTTTAATTACCAAATGTTAGCAGTCTTTTCAATAAGAGTTAATGGGCCTTGTGACTTAGTTGTTACTAAACATTTTAGCAACAGCGCTATTTTCCGAGCTCTGCAAACACAACAAAAGCTTAATTAATTAACGATGGAGGCATGTGCTTCCCCCAGATGGATTCAACACTACAGGAGCATCTCCACCATGGGGCGGTAGGTCTCCTAGCTTTGCCATCCGAGGGCAGGAAAGCATGCTCAACTCCATCATTCTTCCCATTTTGATTAATTTTTCCAAAATCTAAATGTTTGGAGTCATTATTGTGTCACTTCCAGCCTCTGCTGGGTGCTGGGGGCCAAAACATGGCCAGAGATCCCCTCAAGTTGCCGACCCCTGCTATCCAAAACAGAAACATCTTCTCTTAAGCTCCTGATGTGCCACATCTGGCTCAGAAGAATTACCTTGGCTTGCATTCTGCACATGCCCAGAGACCCGCGTTTCCACTAGGATTTCACATATTCCAGAATCTGAAAATAAGTCTCTCATGCCCAGACTCAAAGATCGGCGACACACACACAAACACACCCTTTGCGATCAGGTCACCAAATTATGAGTGCCTCCATTTTACTCACGATAAAGTGTCCCGCGATATTTGGCTGGAAGACTCTGTCAAAGGAGCAGCGGGTGTACGCACAGTCCGTGAACTGGAAGAGGCTGGCGACATGTCGGCGGCATTGGGACGGGTTGCCGGAGCCGCTCATGTTCACCATGGCGGTGGAGAAATAGTTGGTGGGCTTCTCGGAAGCCGTGCAGGGGGAGTTGTAGATACTTTCCATGGTGAAGTTCTGCCGGTAGCCTTTCGGCCAACAGGGATTGTCCACCTTCAGGGTGTAGCCTTCTGCCTATGGGGGGGTGTTGAGGGGGTGGACGGATGTTTACTGGACCACGTAAAACCCAGCCTGTTTCGCTGAACTCAGCTCAACCCTTCTCTTCCTTGCAAAGTTGATTGGGGAGCAACGCAACGGGGTGCCCGTCCACCATACGTAGGCCCCAACGTTGAGGTTGGAGGATCCTCCCCCAGGGATAAAGCCCTCTCTGGTTGCACCTCCACTGAAATGTGTGGGCCCTTTGGGCAAACCCACCCGGAAGGCCTCCTCCGCGCCCAGCTTGGCCCGTTTCCTTACCTTCAGCACCTTGGAGAGCAGCCTCTTGAGGATCTGGTCCCGGCCGTAGCAGAGGAAGCTGTGGGTGTAGACTTTGTAGGTCTGGCCGTACAGCCTCAAGGTCACCTCGTTGGCCGGGCGGCTCTCGATCTCCTCCCGGGTCTCGAAGGTGATCTGGGTGGAGGCTCCCCCGAGATCCATGGCCCCCAGGGTGTTCCTCTTGGGCCGGATCCACTGCCCGATCCACCCGTACTGGAGGAGGAGAACGTGATGTGGAAAAGAGAGAGGGAAGGGTCAGCGGTGGCCCCCGGGAGCCAGGCACGTCAGACCTGGCGGCCCTGGAGACCTGGCATTACAACTCCCATCATCCCTCGGCATCAGCTATGCCAAAGAGACCTGGACACCAGCAGCTACCAACAGTGACTCAAACTATGGTTCAGGGCCAAATGCACCCTGTGGATTTCTTTTTTCCCTTTTTCACAGCGCCTAAATCATCATCTTCTTCTTCTTAGCACTGCAATGCTGGAAGGACGGATCCACTGCCCGATCCACCCATACTGGACGAGGAGAATGGGATGTGGAAAAGAGAGAGGGAAGGAAGGGTCAACGGTGGCCCCCCGGGAGCCAGGCACGCCAAGACCTGGCGGCCCTGGAGACGTGGCATTACAACTCCCATCATCCCTCAGCGTCAGCTATGCCAAAGAGACCTGGACACCAGCAGCTACCAACGGTGACTCAAACTACGGTTCAGGGCCAAATGCACCCTGTGGATTTCTTTTTTCCCTTTTTCACAGCGCCTAAATCATCATCTTCTTCTTCTTAGCAGTGCAATGCTGGAAGGGACTCTTATGGATCACTGGGTCCAGCCCCTGTCAAGGAGGCCCAGAGGGGGATTCAAACTCCCAACCTCTGGCTCCACAGTCAGAGACCTCAACCACTGAGCTATCCAGCCGTTCAGAGGCCCTGCTCTTTGTGCATGCCCAGGAACACACAACCCACACCTTGTAGAGGAGTGGCAATCAGCCACCGCCCTTTCCACAATTTCTCTTACGCTGCCTTGCCAAGAGGATGATGGCTGTTATTGACGGCCTTTTGTCTGGACAACATCCCTCCCCATCTCCAGCTCTTCCTGTCTGAGCCAGGAAGCATTTTGGGAGCCGTGGTCAAAAAAGAACTCAAAAAGGAACTTTTCCAAGCTGTTTTCCGAGGCATCGTGCCAACCCATTAACATTGGAGAGGAGCTGCATCTTGAGATGCTGGAATGAATCCCACAATACAGCAGCGCAAATCATTCTCTCTCTGTCTCTCTCTTTCTCTCTTATGCCTTTGGGTACCAAGAACCTGGCCATTCGGAAAAGCTGGCACTCAAAAGCTAGAGCGATCAAAGGTAAGGGAGTAACATCTTTTCCTCCCCCCCCCCAAAGCCCCAGGATTAACCACAGCCTCCCCTTCCTGGAAAGCCCTTTGTACAGTATTTTTAAAAGGCTTTCTGGCCATTTGGGGTTTTTTAAAGGTTGCCTTACTGACCCGGGAACAACACAGGAGGAGCTGTGCTTCAGGGCGGGCAGGAGCAGGGCATGGCGGAAGATTCCACCAGAATCGCAGGGCTAAGTACAGTGGTGCCTCGCTAGACAGTTACCCCGCATGACAGTTTTTTCGCTAGGCATTGACTTTTTGCAATCGCTGTAGCGATTTGCAAAACAGTGATTCCGATGGGGGAATTTCGCTGGACAATGTTTGGTCCCTGCTTCGCAAACCGATTTTCGCTAGACGACGATTTGCTTTTCGCTGGACAATGATTTCGCTAGACAGCGATTTCAGTAGAATGGATTGTCATTGTCTAGCGAGGCAGCACTGTAATGTTAAGCAAGGTGTCAAAGCAGGTAGTAGGATCTGGTGGGTAAAGAAGGGGTGGGAAACCTCAGGCCCTGGAGCAAGATCCGGCCTTCTGGGAGTTGCCTATAACCTCTTCCCTGGGACATCGTCTTATGGAAGTGTGCCAACTCTTGGACAGATTTTACCCAGTGCTAAAAGATTCATATTCCCCTAAGTAGCCATTAAAATAGAGTGTTCTTAGGGTTTATCGGGTATAACGTACTAAAGACTGGGGTCAAGGCACTGCCTCTGGCAGATGGCGGCCCATTGAGTCTCCTACCTTAATAAAGTTCTCCAGAAGGTAGTTGGCAGTGACCCAGCCGAAGACACCCTCGTCCTCTCCGCTCAGGATCCGTGCACCCCGGAAGTCGAAAGGGTACTGCTTCAGCGTCGAGGTCACGGCTCTGAAGACGTCGTCCGAAACCTGGGGGCTGGTGTGACTGCGCAAGAAATAAGAAACAGCATTTTAACCAAGTTAGCCGTTGCCACCAAAATTGGGTTATCTCAGGTAGAACTTCCACTTTCAAGAGCAGTCTGTCTCTGAATGCCAGGCGGTAGAAACAAAGGGCTTGGAAATGTCAGGGTTTGGACTACAAATCTCAGAATCCCCCCCCATCCCAAAATAGTCCAAAGGCCAGGTTTCTGACCAGTGAGGGTTCTGCCTCTCATATCCTGCATGCGGGAAAGGGTTTGCTGGTTTGGAATGGGTTTCATGGCTCCGATTTGAACCCAGGTCTCTCCAAGACCTAGACCAGCATCCTACCACAGCAGCACACATTCAAGTGGCTTTGGGACAGAATACAGTGTTTGCACAACATGGGACCTGAACCTCCCTTTTACAAAAAAGTGGGTTCCGTCAACGAGAAGGGACAGCTACGACACCGGGTCAAAGGACAAGCCAATAATTCCAACAATTTTGGAAAACGAAGCGAGGCAGGGCCAGGCCAGTACGAAACCTCACTTGAGCAGCCGCATGCCAGCCGTGGCTCCGAGGTAGAGAGGGGTGGCCGCGTGCCTTTCTTTCGGGACGTCTCTCAGCGCCTGGTCCAGACATGCCTTCAAACTCTCGCCGGCAGCCGGGGGGTTATCGGAGTAGCTTGAGATGCCTCCCCCTGCAGACCCAAAAGGAAAGACATCACCATCACCGCACGGATTCCAATGCCCATCAGCCCCAGCCAGCTGCGTAGGGAATAATCAGAAGAGGTGCAGATAACGACCCTTAGTTTTATGCTGGTTTTCTGGGGGGGGGCTGCCCCACGTCCTGATTCCTTGCTGTATAAGCCAACTGCTGCAGCCGAGGCAGAAGGAAACCGCCAAGGGAAAGCTCATTTAAACATGCCCCGGGGGAGGCACAGACCAGATCCCAAGGCCTTTTGCCAGTTTGGGGTGGGCACCCAACTGCCCATGACGGCAAACCGTCCCTTCTCCTTTCAACCTATTCTTTGCAGGTTTTCAAAACAGGAACACCTGGTGCATTTGTGCAGCGATGCCCAACTCATGCCAGCTCGGTAGGGGAGGGCGCGCCAGCCTCTCTTTTAAGCTGGCACAGCGGGTTCAAAACTGGGTGAGAGAAAGGCCTTTTCTTTTGCATGGCACACGGGATTGGCAAACCTCCTTTGTTCAGAGGGCACAGCCACGGCCCAAAATCAGGATCAAAGAGGCAGGGTGACAATAGGATGTGAACCAGCCACTCTCCACTTGGCCCAAGGAAAGAGTGCAGATGTTTTTGTGGTTAGGAAAAGTTCAGCTGCACGGAGGAGGTGGCCTGCCGCACCTCTTTGTGAGTCCCTGTTCTCTTCTCGCCAAACAGCTTCGGCCATTTGCAGATTGCTCTCCGCTCCAGATGCTTTTGAGTCAGGTCCAAACTTGAGGAATGGACCAGCTTAAAAGATTACTAACGAGTGGCCCTCGTGCCATGAGTCGCTGTTTTCTCATACGGATTTGGGGGATGGGGAAGGAAAGCCACATTTGTTTTCTTTAAAGGGACTGGTAGAACCTGATAGTTAGGCCTACTTGGCTGTTTTTAAGGTGGAAACCGAGGCTCTAAAAGATGGCTCCACTCTCTATCCCCATTAGACCCATCACAAATTCCTCCATCGAAAGCAGCAGGCAAGAGGACCTCGTTATGCAACGGCCGTGTCCTAAATGGAGACCCTATAATAAAGTTGACTTCCTCTGCCCCTCTCCAGATGGTCAGTCCTTTTGCTCTTTAAGCAACCTTGGCCCTGATTCGCACTCGCTCCTTCGTGGACTAGGGGACCTCAAGTAAACCCAAGCGCCTCGTCAGCTCAGCTCTAAGGCGCTCGGCCACATCGGAGAGCTGAGCTGGACAAACCGGCCACGTTTGCAAAGCAACGGAGGGCTCAGGTTGATCCTCTGCCCGCCTGCAGGGTTGTTGTGCCAGGCCGCCGTGCGCTCTTCTCCCCCAGGACCTCTGTTCTGCTAACGGGAAGACAGAACTGATGTGCTTGAGGGTGTGTGAGAGAGGGAACGAATGCCAGAAGGACCATCCGGCCCTTACCTTTGACGTCGCACATGCTATGCTGGCTGACGATCCCGGTGTCGTTTTCCTTGTCGGCCGGCCATTTGTACACAAACATGGCCGTGTGGGAAGAGCCCGCATCCAGAACGATTCCATACTGCGCTCGGGGAAGACAGAAATCAGGGTGGGGAGGAAAGAAGAGGGGGAAGAGGTGGGGTGGGGGAAGGATAGTTAGTTTGGAAAAGTCGCCGAGATCGGGCAATTGCGCCGAGAGAGATCCCGGCGACCGCGGTCTTTTCCCCCCAATCTTTTTCTTTAAAACTACAATTCCCATCATCCAGCCAGTGTGTCTGTGGATGGTGGGAGTTGTAGTCCCCAGATTAGGGACCGTTTCGGGTCTAAACAGGGGGCCTTCTGGACCATTCAAGAACCGAACTTTAAACTGACGAGAGTAACTGCGAGTAAAGAGATGTCGTCCGTCGCCGACAAAACCACCTCGCAGGATCACTGCGAAGGTGCGGCAGGAGCTGGGGGGGTTGGCGGTAAAGCCTAGCTCTCCTGCTTTCCTGTCAGGCAGCCTCCCTTGATAAATCTATCGCTCGTTAAGGCCCCTGGAATGACAGACGGTTCCAGCCCACCAGACGGAATTGGTTTGTTAAAATGTACATACAAGTCAGTTTTTAATTGCTCCTCGTCGCATCCGACACGCCAGTCACGGTTCCTACGTTCCCATAAAAACTTTTTAAATGGCAATAAGTGTAGGCAGCGCTCGGCGTCTCGGAAGCTTCTGACATTTTCCCAGCAAACGGGCGCGTGGGCCCAGTCTGCGCCCACTCGGAGAAGTGGAGCGGAAAAGCCCGGCTTGTAGGTGGCGGGATTTTGGGGCAGGAAGGAAGGCTGAACCCCCTTTTTCCTGGGCCAGGGCCCAAAAAAGGCTCTCCATGTCCGGAGGGCTTCCACACCTGGGCTGAAGACACCCTCCCCCCTCTGAGATCAGATCCAGCGCTCAAGGGAGCCAAACCTGCACCTCTCTCTCCTTTCTAATTTTATTTTTTAAAAAAACAGGATGTTGCAAGCCCTGGATTCTTCTATGGGGTTATCAAGGTCGTTTGTCTAAGTTCAAGGAACTTTGTGCATTGCAGGATACGTGGCAGACAGGGTCACCTGGGTGGGGGAGGCAGAGGGCCCCCGGGCAAAGCACAGCCCTGGGAAAGGCGAACGGGATTCCCAAACACCCTGATCCCCTGTTTGACCATCTATGGCTTCACCAGCCGCACACTATAAATAGATCTTTCCTGCCTGCCTGCCTGCCTGGTTGGAAGAAGGGGGGGGCATTGGCTATAACCCCCACCCACTCCAGCCTCAAGCAATTCCATGACAGATCCCTGTCCCCAGAAAGTTTTGTTTCCCACGTGAGCCTGTTTTGACTTTATTTTCCTTGCCAAGGAAGAGATGCAAGGCTTGATATTGGGTTTTTAAAAAATAAAATGTGCTCCTGTTGAGAAAGGCAAAGTCAGAGATGGTTTGCAAAGTGAGGCCAGGGCTTCGTGACCTTCTAGGTACTACATCACCCCATCATTCCTGAACCTGCTGGTAGAGGATGATGAGCATGGGGGCCCAGCACGATCTGAAACGCCACCCCTGAACGGAACGGTCTCTTGAATACCACCACCAGGGAGGGCTGGGGAAAAAACTATCCTTCCAGGAGAGTTGACAAGGGCAGTCTAGCCGGACCCACGTCCCAAGGCTGAGTGGAAGACAGCAACTTTAGGTGAGAACTGCGGATGATGACCACAGAGTCACAAGAGGTGGTCTCTGCTCCTTGGTACGTCTGCCCAGATCCGGTCTCTCTGCCTTAAAAGATTTTGGGGTTGGGGGGGTGAGTCAGGAGGGGCCCAACAGTGATTTATGCCCCAGGGTGACCCCTCCTAACCTGACAAAAAGATTGTTGTTGACATATATTTTATGCTTCTCATTGTAATTTGTTCTATTGTATTTGTTTTCACTGCACTTTACGATATTTGATTTATGCCCCAATTGTATTGCTATTGTATTATTTTGTTATTCTGTTGTTTGTTTACCTGTTGCAAACCGCCTAGAGGGCCCTGGCTGCCAGATGAGATGGGTATCAATCAATCAATCAATCAATCAATCAATCAATCAATCAATCAATCAATCAATCAAAATAATAATAATAATA